TTTTTTTTTTTTTTTTTTTACAGGTTTGTGATCACTAAAAATCCAAATGAAATTGTGTTCACTTAAATGAGCATTGTGCAATAAATGCAATTATCATTCAGAGCATTAGAAGTCATTGTTGGGACCTAGGGATTAAAAAAAAAAATTTTGTTTAATTTAGGGAAAATACCTTTTTTTGGGGGGGTGGGTTCCAGCAACAGATCACATTCTAGCAGTAATCTATTGAAGCTCTAGCAGTAATCTAGGTTGCAGCTCTGTACTAAAATAAAGTGCTAAAATAAATAAAAAAATAAAATAAAATATGACGTCACTACACTCTGATGTAAACACAGTATAGAAGTGTAGTGTAGATTTACTTTGATCTGCTTACAAATGTTCCTGTTCTTAGTGCTGGATAGTGACTATCACTGACAGCCATTGTTACCAGCCTGAACCTCAGCTGCTGTCTCATTGCCATTTTAAAATGGCACCTGGGACTTAAGTGGTTAAAACCTACCTAGCACTAAAAAAAAAAACCCCGCTCATTTCATACTACCCCTTACCCCCAACTTAATTTTCTGCATTATACCTATTATGAAGGGAATTTATCAAAATCTGGAGTAGATGTGCATGGCAACCAATCGGCATCTCTCCCTCATTTTCAAATATTAACTGAACAAAGAAGCTGATTGGTTGCCATGCACAACTGCTCCAGATTTTGACTGCTCCAGTTTTGATAAATTCCCCCAATGTATTTCTACTTTAAGCCCCAGCTACCACCTGTGGAGCCTAGATGAGAGTAACGTCATGATGCTCCTGAATTTGGCAACGCTAAGAATCCTAAACCTTGTGAGAAGATGCTCCTGCACTATGCTGGAGCATCTTCTCGACGGATTTGTGATACTCGCCATTGCTGGAAGGATTGCAACATCACCCTCTCCTGTGCCGAAATCAGGTAAAAGGTAAGTACATTTTCTTTTTTTCACAGAAACTTTATTCATTTATGTATTTATTTTTACATATCTAATGCCACAATTTTAGATGGGAGTATAGGGAAGCATTTAATAAGCGGAACCTTGCGTTTCAGTGGATGGTCCTCTTTTAAGTTGGGTATAATTTGAAGTGGATAACAAGCCATACGTTGCCTTTTTTTTAATTGCACCAGTGGGTGACTAAGATTGTTTTTTTTGTGTTGTTCCAGGGATGTTTGTATTCAGCAAGATAAAAGGACTTACCTGACTGTGGTCTACTTTGGTGAGGCAGGTCTATCGGAAGTTCAGGAAATCCTTAAAACTGTAGAGAAGTAAGTTAAATCTGTATGGTCAGTAAATCATTTTAACTTATGGAGGGCAACATAAAGTATAATTTAGCACAATTTAGACAATCTGACATTTAAGGATACTAATGATTCTCCCTTACTACGTAAAATTATTAGTATTATACATGATTTATATAGCACCAACAGTGTGGGCATCACTTTACAATATAAGGAAAACATTACAATCGCAATACAATTCAAGACAAGATGGTAAGGACACCAGACAATGCGGTGCCACCTGTCAATCTGTTCCTTACTCTGCAGAATTGCATTTTTGCTTTTAGTTTTTTTATGTATTTAATTTTTTGTTACATCGTGGAAGATTTCCATGTGTGTGTGTTTGTGTGTTCCTGTCTGTTTTTTTTTTTTATTTGGTGAATATACCCTGCATCCACGTGGACCTGTGAGGTAGCACAGTGTAGAAATGAGCTGATCTCTGTTGTGTCATCTGTTTCCATATGAATAAATTCTGCAGATGCGTCCTCTGTTTGTCCAACCCTCCCCTGTAGCTGTACCCCTTCTCCCGCTACCATCCCTTGTGTTCGTGCTGTTTCTTGTGATCCTGTGATGATGTGAACCATCAGTGCTAAATGACTTTGTGTGTTTATGGGAAAGGTCAATGAATACTTTTCCTGGGTCACTATAGCTAAAACAAAAACAATCCAAACGTTGTATTATACGAAAGACTTTCACACCTGAGTATGTTAAAGTCTGCAGTACATTGACAGATATTTGACATTCCATGCAGCTTTCAGTTCATTTAGCTGCCTTGTTAGGAACACAAACATGTGTAAAAAAAAAAGACAGTTTGCTTCCTTTTGTGTGTAATTAGGACCGGAAGACAGATGTCTTACAACAGGGGTAGGCAACTGTGGCACAAGAGCTGTTGTGAACCTGCAAATCCTATCATGTCTCTGCCTCTGGGAGTCATGGCTGTTAGTCTTGCAATGCCTCATGGGACTTGTAGTTTTCCCACAGCTGGAGTGGCAAGGTTGCCTACCCCTACCCCATAGTTAGGAAAATAAAAAGATTTACCTGCAGTGGGCCAATAATACTCGCGTGTCTCTAAATCTGAACAGTTGCCTCATAGTCTATGCAAAGAAAGATTGAGGAGGGAACACAGAGCACTTGCTCAGCTTTGTTTCATGGATACGTCAACAATACATGTTCATGTAATTTTGTTTGCTTTATAACACCTTCTTGATCAAACCTTGTTCAGAAAGTAAAATCATAGGGGATGTGTCTCATTTTCTAAAAGCCACACTTCGCTTTTCTAACACTAAAGCTGGCCAAGCACTGCTCAAATTTAGCTGATTTCTGCCCAATTGAGCCAAATTCAAGCTGTGGTTGGCCCTATCAGCATCACCTGACACTCAACAGAAGTCCAATTTTTAATTCAGTATTTGTCAAAGGGGCTGGATGGAAAATGTTGGCCTAATTGTATCCAATCGGATGCAGTCACTGTTCGGCTATAATACAATAGCCAGCAGGGGAGATAGCTTTATCCATGCTGTTTATCAGTCAGACACAAAAGCTACAACAGTCTTTTGGCTATACATACAATTTTCTTTGGCAGATGATATTTTATTGTTGCTATTAATCCTTGCAGCTTAAAATCTAAAAATAAGTCTTTCTAAATTCCCCCTACCATTTTTTTTGTACCAGAAGGAAACCAGAGACCCTGTTAGAAAAACCAAACAAACAGAACAGACATTTAATCTGCACCTTTTTTTTAGTGCAATCAGGGGCGTATCTGCCTCAAGGTAAACAAGGCGTTTGCCTTGAGCTGCATTTTCCAGGGGGGTGGTAAAAATGTCACCCCGAAAACATTCAGGCAAGCCGGGCTGCACAGAATTCGGCAGCCTTGGTTGCCTAGTCGAGTAGGAGGAGGAGCAGCATGGGGGTGGCAGGTCCGGATGGTCAGTTGCAAGCCTTTAGCCAATTGGGGCTTCACAAGGCGCATTGCCTTGTGGGGTGTTCAGCAGTCGAACAGACCATCGAATGCCCTTATAGTTTGTGTGTTCGGCGAACACACGAGCTAGCGATGTACGGGACGAACTCACGGTCGACTCGAACATCCAGCCCAACCCTACCCCAAACCAAAATACACCGCTGAGCACAATGGGTTTGATTAAACTATACCATTATCTGTAGTCATTGTCAGGACATTTAAAACCCAACTCTGGGTACAGCTGTTCTTTTTTGATCTTTCAACATTTACCATCCTCATGTGTTTACTACTTTAGGAGTTTTGTAAACTCTGCTGACTGCTCCTGTTCTATGCAATGGGTAGCTGCACTTCTGGTTCCCCGCTGCATCGTAACATTGCTGGTCTCCACTGAGAGCTACCGATATATACAACAGGAGACAAACTTATATCTCTCTGCCGATGTTGTGCCTCCACCCTCCATCACTCATGGACATGGTTCAGATGCAGCAGAATTATGGAAGTTCGTATCCTTTTGTATATATCTGTAGCTCTCAACTGACACCAGAGAGCTCTTGAAGTAATACAAAACAAAATAGAACATGAATGTGTAACTTAAAGGTCTAAAGAAACCCCATAAAAATAACAACTGTAGCTAGAGTTGGGATTTAATATCTGATAAGTTGCTTCCTTGCATCTTACCCTCTATATAGGGCAACCACTGCCAGCTCTGTGGGGGTTTCCAGCTAGCACTGCCAAGCTTGAGAGAAAGAAATGAGACCATTCATAGTCTACCACAAACTAAAGCCAGCGCATAACTGTGGAGAGAAAACTTTGTTTGAATATACTAGTGACTGCGGGGGTATGTGTGCTTTTAGAGCTGCACTGCTTTATGACTGACGTGACAACCCCAGTACTAATGCCCGGCCATTCTACCCTTTTGTACCACTGTGCTGTTACATTTTAAACCTTTCAAAAAGTGTTAAGGTTACTTACTAGCACAGTTTTTTTGTCGGGGGATCAGCAATCGCATTAACCAGCCATTGCATTAACCAGCCATCAAGGCCAATGGCATAACTAGATTGGAGTCATTGCATCTTATAGGTAAATTATAAAAATCCTTAAATCCTTTTTATTGTCTAACTATTCACTATTTCTTCCTAAACAAAACCTTGAAAATAAAAATCCTATATATTCAAATCTATCACATTAAAGCCCTATCTGTCCTAAGAAAAAGTGTGTGATAGGTTTGGGTAGATTGCAAAACCTAGAATATATAACATGCAGAACTGAGACATTGTCATAACAAAACAAAGATTCTGAGACTCAAGGGTGTTGTAAGGGAAAGGCCTGGGGACTTAATGATCCTCATGGTTAGCAAAGCTGCATATTTTTAGGCCCAGGTTTCTAGGTGTGGTAAACCGTACTGTTTTATGACATGTTGGTATGCACAACTATCGGTAGATAATCATGTCAATGACAGAAATTCACATCCTCATTCTTTTCCACGCCTTTTTAACTTTCACATTCTCCCTCTCACCTTTTACCTGCTTCAGATTCCTTTTTAGATAATAGCTGTACATGTCACTATACAGTAAGCTGTATCTTTATATATCTTTACACTTAAAGGAAACCTGTACTGAGAGATCTAGACACTCCAATTGTGAATCTTCTGAAAGTGCTTCTGATCCAGTGACTTCAATACTTTTAAGTTGCTGCCCCAATGAAACATAAATGCATGAAATCACAACTTCCGATTTGCAAAAATGCTATGTCAGTGGCTCAAAGTATTGAAACCACTGATTTACAATGACAGCAAGACAACATGCAATTTGAGAAGAAAAGGACAGCAATGGCATCCTCTATGTTTCCTTAGTAGCGGTGTCCTTTACCTACAGTCTGTTGGAGTAGATAAGTGTGTTTTTGACTGACTGAGCAAGGGTTAAGTTTAGCACTAGGGTAGGGGCAGACTTGTAGCCTAACACCCTGTTAGGGGTCTGGCTGGTTTTAAGGGCTCCATGAGGGTGCAAACATGATTTGTTAATAAAAGCAGGAGCACCTCGGCAGTATTTGTAGCTTGGATAGTTTTTTTGCTCCAACAGTTTCTATTTAATGATATAATTGGTAATAAATAAGATGAATTGGAATCAACATATTCTTGGTTCTCATCTCTATTGAATGCAGAATCTAATGTTTGAGCAAGGAAGATTGTTCTCACTGTATTTGACATATTATTCTGTTTTTGCAGTGACCAGGATTTCCATAATTACACATTAATTCCACTGAAGGAGGAGTTTAGCAGGGGGCGTGGCCTGGAAGTTGGCGCAAGGGCCTGGGACAAAGAGGATGTTCTGCTTTTCTTCTGTGACGTTGACATCTATTTCACTCCAGGGTTTCTGGAAACATGCAGACTAAGCGCAGAACCTGGTGAGTATACGCTGTTTTAGGGACTTCTACAACACACGTGAACAAAGTAAGGTAGAAGTAGTAAATGGCTGCATGAAATATATTGCCAGTCAGAGTTCCACTTTAATGCCCTCTGTAAATAAAGTCTCCAAAAACGTGACCCCCCGGGCAATTTTTTTAAGTGTACTGGCCATGTGGCTGGTGGGAACTGTCTAACCACAGCAGTTAGATTAGCACATTCAGTTAGATAAAATTGCACAGGTATTTTTCCACTAGCTAATGATGGTTATTAGTCTACATTATATATATTTTGTCCATTTCATTCTCCTCCATGGTGGCAATGTTCACCTGTTGCTGGCTGAAGAACTGAATGGAGACAACAACCTATTTTGATGAAGGCACTACAGACCTATACCACTAGGTGGCAGAGTCTGACCGATTAATAGAGTCTCCCCTCTCTATCCCTGGCATGGTAACCCTCCTGTGAATACAGTCATTGGTCTGTACAAGTCATACTGTTCCCTGCCCTTTTCTCACTGCAGGTTAATATAGACATCACATGCAGCTAACTAAACACAGTGATGAACATACCAGTACATTTCTAAAGAGATGCTATATATATTGGAACAGTCTAGAATGAATGCACACATCAGGACACACACCTTACTTCCTGGTGTGGATGCCAGCAATTAGATGGCCAGTACTAGCCCTTTTTAAACCAGCAGTATATGTTCATTTGCCCCTTGGTTGTGCGTGTCCAGAGTATGTGTAAATTGCTCATTAACCAGTCTCCAGTATGCACAATAACCCCTTGGTGGTCAGTCTCCAGAGCAGCTGTTCGGTAATCCAGAGGTTGCTATACTAGGGGTTTGAGCAGCAAGCAGATTGATCTGCAGCTTGATGGTGCCTGAATGCTTCTAGCGCCAAAGCTATTCCACTGGCCACCAATCTATAGGACCTCCTTTCCTTCCAGTCACTAATCTAAAGGGCCACTTTCCCACCAGTTGCTAATCTAAAGGGCCACCAAGGGCTACCTGCTCAATGCCCATTTTAGACCATGTACTTCATCCTACACCAGGGGTGGGGAACCTCTGGCCCTCCAGCTGTGGTGAAACTACAAATCCCGTTATGCAACTGTCTCTGGGAGTCGTGGCTGTGAGAATCTTGCAATGCCTCATGTGATTTGTAGTTTCACCACAGCTGGAGATTCCCTGGAGATTCCCACCCCTGTCCTACAGAGACCCTATGTTTTTCTGTTTTGTGTTCTAGCCCCTGAAAATGTTTGAGGTTTTTCCCATGTTACCTTGATATGAAGTAAAAAAATCAAGAATCTTGGACTCTACCACTATTGATGTGGCGCTCTCAATATTTTCTCAGCCAGTGTAAAGGGACACTACACTGCCCACATATATAAGGAGGCACCTCTCCCACTGCCCACCTTGGTAAGAGGACACTTAGAGGTGCCAAATACTCTAGGTATGTGCAATTTACTGATCACGATGGATCATAAGTTGTAGAAATCATCATTTTTGGCTGGCTTCTCTGTGACTCAAATGATTTCATGGTAAAAGGGTGAGAGAGGCTACTTCAGTGTATCAGTCTTTAATGTTTGTAAGATACTAAATTAACCGCAGGGGGGTTTCAAGTCAATTTTAAATGGAACCCCGTCTTTAGAGTTAAATTGACCTATAACTCCATTCAAGCACAACAATCATCATTGCTCTGCATTTCATTGCAAGTGATTTATGAATTGATTGAAAGAATCACTATCTTGATGTGTGTCTTGATTTTGTAGGTAAGAGAGTCTTCTACCCTGTTGTATTTAGTCTTTACAATCCTGCAATTGTGTATGCCAATCTAGACGCACTACCCTCCAAAGAGCAACAGCTGGTACGTATAGCACATCTCTTTTATTTTGACATTAAACATGTATAAATGATTGGATAGTGCTGTGAGTTTATCCATCTATGGGATTTCTAAATGGACCAGGATAGTGTGATATAAAATGAAATAAGGTATTCAGGCTCTTCATGGTACAGCAGTAAATTGTGTCAGAAAACCTGGCCCAGCAGCCCCTGACATACCACCTGCAGGCTACCAGTGGTAAATATCTTAACCAATAATACATATTCACCTTAAAAAAGGAAATGCACCTGTATACATTATTTCTTAGCCCTAAACCCAATACGTTTGCAATGTGGTACATTGATGACTTTAGAAATGGTGCAGTCTTTGAATAATCTGCCTGACTTTCTTTGCAATAAACTTACTTCTAGCTAACCTGAAAATCCCTGCAAATCACCTCTCATTGTATAGAGTGTTTCCCTAATCTGCATGGTCCATATCAGTTAGACCTCTGGCTGGGATCACATATGGGCTTTTCATGGCACTGATCTCATATGTACAATGTCATCTTCTCTCAAACAATGCTCAATGTGTGATGGGATTGCAGGGCTTCCTACTGACTTTCACAATGGCAGCGAGCGTCACATGATCAATGAGAAATCATTATAGTCCGGGGCCTCTAGGGAAAAAAAATGAGCATAAGTAAAGTAGCTGAATACACACATGAAATAACATATAAGGGAGCTGTATTGTCTGCCAAAGGATTCATATTTCTCCATCCAGTCCTGAGATTTTAAACAGCCCTGCCACACTGCACAGCCAGTCTGGTGAACTGCGATTTCTCTGGTTACCTCCCTTCCTTCCTGTGACTGGACAGTGATGGACCAGCAACAGGTTGATGAGGTCATCTCTCTGCTCTGCTTTAAGCACATTGCTTGTCAAGAGCAGCAACTGGTTGATGGGCTCCTCTCTCTGCCCTCCTCCTTTCAGCACGTTAGTTTTTAGGAGAAGCAACAAGTTGATGAGGTCATCTCTCTGCTCTCCTCCTTTCAGCACGCTAGTTTTTAGGAGAAGCAACAAGTTGAGAGGTCATCTCTCTGCTCTCCTCCTTTCAGCACGCTAGTTTTTAGGAGAAGCAACAAGTTGAGAGGTCATCTCTCTGCTCTCCTCCTTTCAGCACGCTAGTTTTTAGGAGAAGCAACAAGTTGAGAGGTCATCATTTCCTGTTGGCATGTTGCTTTTCAGCAGATTGCATTGCAGCAAATCTGATTGGCCGTTGGTGCTGCTCTTTTTTCTCCAGACAGGGCTGCTGTACAGGGGATTTTAAGTCAAATTCTGGTATATACTATAATTGCATTTAGGAATACAGTTTTAAAATGAACATATAACTGCATTCATGTGTTTTTTTTTATATATATCTGCCTTGAGTTCAGTTATAAAGGAAGAAAAAGTAATCCATGAGAAAATGTAAACCAGACACTACAAAACCAGAAGATGGTTTCTAGATATGTACTACTTGTAATATTCCTTGTCATTGCCTTAGGTTCATAAGAAGGACTCAGGCTTCTGGCGAGATTTTGGATTTGGCATGACTTGTCAGTATAAATCTGATTTCTTATCTATCGGTAAGTCATCAAGTCCTGTGAGTTCATTTTGTATCATCACATTATGTAAACAAATAGATTGTAAGCTCTCATGATCAGGCCCCTCCTAACCCTCTTGTCTTGTATTGTAACGGTACCGTCTCCCTTTATGTTGTAATGTGCTGTGCACACTGTTGGCTCCGCATAATATTGCCCACTATTGTAGATCTCTCTGTATTCAGTTCCACATTCAGGACACTTGCTGATTATTACTCCTTATTTGGCTCCATCTAGTGGGAAGACGGTGAAATAACACTGTTGCACTCGCTGTGCCTTTTCTTTGGACTTTTACAGGTGGCTTTGATTTGGAAGTCAGAGGCTGGGGAGGAGAAGATGTCCATTTGTACAGGAAATACCTCCACGGAGATTTGGTTGTGGTGCGAACCCCAGTACCGGGCCTGTTTCATCTCTGGCATGAGAAGCATTGTGTGGATGAACTGACTCCAGAGCAGTATCGCATGTGCATCCAGTCTAAGGCCATGAACGAAGCCTCTCACCCGCACCTCGGCATGTTGGTATTCCGGGAGGAAATTGAGGCTCACTTGCGCAAGCAAGCCTTCAGGACAAATAATGAGTCGGAGGCATGAACCATCAAGTGTCACATGGAACCGTAAAAAGCCCTAAAAGCTGGTATTAAATAGTCAGTTGAGCCTGAATGGCTAATAGGGTAGAATATTATGGATGCAGGACATCATCGCTAACATATAAAGCCCAGCATATCATGAGAGGGTTAAGGCAATGCTTTCAGTGCCATACTGTCTTTTGCAAAGGAGTCTGGGTAATTCTGGACAGGCGTCATATGGAGGACTTGTACTTTAATAATGCTTTGTGTGTCAGTCCAGCACAGAAAATAGTCAGATTAACATTATGTTTACGCTATCACGGTGAGGATATACATATCCAGCTGAGAAATGAATTCCCATGGCATAGATGAGCACAGCAAAGGGAACGCACAGGTACGTCTGGGCCCAGTAATGGACATTTTTTTTCTGTGCCTTACTACTGCAGAGGGAGCGCCCATATGATCACTGCAGGCGAAGGAGAATATGTACATAGATTTTGTTTTTGTTTTTTTAACTTTTGTTACGTTCTATTTGGTACGTTCTATTTGGAATGTTGTTTTGCTCTCTATTTTTCACTTTGATTGTCACAAGCGTTCAGAAGGAATGTTGTTAAACTGTTAAGCACATCCTTTACACTATGGCTGAAGAATTCCATTATATCCGCCAGTAATGTGAATCATTTGTGTTGGTGCACGTTGGCAGGTCACAGATTAAGCACAATAATTTTGTTATATCGCCTCAATTGCCACAGGAGAGGGTGACATTGTACAGCAATAAGCTAATCAGTGGCAGGTTCATGGAAAATAAATAGTATGACTGAAATGCAAATATATCCTGTTGTCCTATAAAAGGGGTCAGGAAGCTGCTATAAGCTGGCAGGCTGCTTCTACAGCAGGCTAAAGACTTGTTAAAGGTACGCTCCAGGCAGAACTGAAAATGAAGCTTCACTTTCTCATCCAGGCATTGTACGACAGAAGCAGTCCCTCACTACTCCTTCTGTAGGCAATCTGATCCAGAAATGCGCCTGCTTGTGATACTCGAACATGCTCTGCAAGCTCCTCATGGCCTCTAACATACAATTAAAAAAATAGCAATACCTAGAAGTAGCCACCAGTCAGATTTAAACCTACTATGGAAGTTTGCTCCTTGCACCAGAAGAAGTTGCAGAGACTCTTGCTGCCCTCCTGCTGACCATATGAGCAGCTCTCTGGAATGTGGATGCAAGCGATTATAGAGAGAGGCTATAAGGGGAATGACGGGTTATAGCACTGTGCAGTGTTCATTAATAACTCACTGACTGCTTTTAACTGTCATCTGTATTTGCTCTTCAAAGGGTCATTCCATAAAAAAAATGCAAGTTTCAGCTCTGGTGGCAGACATATCTGTTTTGGTTGGACTAACTCTTTAATGTCTATGTTAAAGCATTACCTTAGATCCAGTAAAAAGGCGTATTACTTTAGAGCGTAACGTTTAGAAAACCCGTTATTTTGTAGTACATAGCTTAGGGGTCTATTTAATTTGCATATCTTATTTGTCCAGTGAAGCTGCATGTGTATTCATTCTGTGTCCGTTAATCGGCTGTTGTGAGAATGGGGCAAAAGTGAATGTTCATAGGACTATCTCTTCTCTTCTGGTCTAATATTCTCCAATGAGTATATTCCTACAAAACAGAGTGAATGGGGGAAAAAAGTGCATCATGGCCACCAGATGGAAACGACACTATAAATGTAACCATTGTATCCCTGTAGTATCAATGGTTACATTTATATGTTCTCTCCAGCGTTCTCTTGAATTGTATCTCACTACTAACCTGTATTTATTTCCTATAATCCCCAGCGCCATCCTCAAACCATAATGTGGTATTTTCCCCATTGACGCTGTTCTTTATGAATTAATCTACTGACGAACATTCACCCAGAAGAGAATATACAATAAGAACATTTGTTTTTGCCCCATTAACGCGCACAGAACTAATGTACATAAAGTTTCACTGGAGGGATAAACTATGCAATTTTTTTAAATAAAGAGACCCCATAGTGTAGCTGTCCCTATGAATATAGAGAGCATCATCCACCCTTACTGACACACCAAGTCCTGACAGACGCATTGATTATGTAGGTTGTGTTAACAATTCGGAATTTAATACAATTCCTGGTGGCGCATCTTTGCATGATAACTATGAGTTATCATGCAAAGCTGCAGTTACAGGAGCACAGGGAAAGGCTGATCACCCTTCACTCTATTCCACTGCAGTGTTGTCAATGTAGACGCATGTAAATGTGGACCAATCGCTTCACTACTGCTCTTATTTTCTAAAGCCTTATAAGCAGAAATGAGAACAGGATCTGAAGAAAAACATGTTTCTAGGAGACAACTAAGCCCCCTGTACAAAGATCCTGTGTGGTTGGCTAACTGCTAACTGATGATCACTTTGGGCCTGAGGAATATACTGTATGCAACACTTTAATAGACACATGTAGGGACTGATCTTCCTTAGGCACTGTGCCGAGGACACACAAATGGGGTCCCAAAAGGTGGGAAAAACTTATCGAGCTTGTTCAAACCATGTCTATTGAGCTGCATTTTTCTACACACCACCACCCAAGTAAATTGTGAACAGGTCACATGGAAAACGTGTATTGTATGTGCCCTGTTCACACCATACATGCATGGTGGTATGCAGAAAAACACAGCTCAATGGACATGGTGTGAACAATAAAGTGGTTCATTTGAAGCTCTTGAGCCTTTCGGTGAGTCATCATTATAGCCAAATTGGCATTTGCGTGGAGCCCACAATAGTAGACAATTTATGTCACAATGTCCATCATAGCCCCCTTCTGTAGAGGGACATACATACAGCCCAGTGCAGACCTCACAGGGACCTTCCATACTGGACCATGACAGTCCACCAATACGTACCAAGACAGTTCCGGTCCTTATGTTCTCACAGTTTCCCACCTTCGAGTGCACACACCAGGCTTTATGTAAAAGATCAGCTCTGAAGAAGGAAAGCCTGCTATGGACCAAGTCTTGGAGGTGATTTGAGGCATGCACCTCCTTATTTCCACAAAGGCTAGAAGAATGTTCCTGACCTGTTCTTGAACATTGCTAGGGGTGGCAGCAGTGCTGAAGTATGAACACTTGACCTGGTTATGTATGCAGGTATCTGCAGATCAAGATGATCTGTGACACTTTGTAGCCCCTTTTGATCCCAGGCTGTACATAGGCCCTTGAGGGGTTTATTTACATAGGGAGGTTGGGGCCCCTACATTCATGTCATGGAATGGAAAGGTCAGGCAGATCTGTAACCAGTATTGATCTAGTTTCTTAGATTTAGGAGCCCATTTCATGTATGAATGCAATTGTTAGTATTTAAACACTTCGGTTAGAATGATGTATTTATTTAAAGCTATCGTTTCAGTCACTTTCAGAATATAAAATAAGTGTTGCCGATGCTGCCCGCTATTGCCTTTGTTAAATCTTGAGTCATTGATGTACGTTTTGTTCACTTTAAGTTTGAAAAACTTAAAGTAAAAATAAAATTTTAAGTGTATTTCCACTTTTGCAGCCACATTGGGATAACACCTGTTTTTAGATGTGTTACATGTTCTCATTCACATAGCAAAATAAAAAAAATATTTAAAAATTGCTTTTTACCTTTTTTATAAATATTCTTTACTAAAACCCCAGGACTGAAAACCCCCTACTTGCTTCTCCCTCGCTATGCAATGTTTGAGGGGGCAGCAGAGTTGTTTTGCCATAAATAACTGTCTGTACTGTACTGTCAGATTTCATTTTTGGTTGTTGATGTTGATCATCTAGATGTGCAGGACTGTCTGTTCTAATAAAGGGTTAAAGATCTCAAGACGATATATGTTAATGCACTGTATTTCAGTCTTGTCCCTTATCTGCAGCATGCCATCTATTATAACCACTTGAAGAAGCTGCCTGTAGAGTCCTTTTGTATAATCATGCTCCAAACAGTAAAATGGTAAGAAATGTAACAATACAGATATCTATATCTAGATATAGATATCTATCTATATATAGATAGATAGCTATATTTTAGGTATGCTGTGTGAATGGGAACCCAAAACAAAACACATAGTGGAGGGGTTTATCAAATTTGACTGCAAAAGTGGAAATACCCTTTAAGTGCTAAGCCCTGCCTAGCCTTCTTCAAAATGAATGCTCCTATTGGCTACTGGGGTGTCCTTGCTGGACAGGGCCCTGTAGGCTGGGAAGTCTGGTCCTTGCTAACAAGCAAACTTTACATTTTAACAGGAGCAAATAAGATTGTTATTGCTGAACTAAGGTAATATCATGAGATTGTTGTATCTGCTCTTAGGCAAGGCTTCGTTTCAGATATTTGAAAATCAATTTAATAAAAAAAACAAGCATGTCATGAAAATAAACTCCAGTAAGTAATAGCAGAAAGGACGTTATGGGTTGATTGAATTTGACTTTATTAGATAATACGTTTTATAGGCTAATTTTATAAAACTTTTTTAAAGCTGAACTCCGGGCACAAAAACCTTCAGAGAAATATTTTCATTAGCTAGAGGATATAAATCCACTTTCTGCGGACCAAATGCAATTGCAAAGCCAATTTTTACTTTCTAAAAGTAGCAGTAACACTGTGACTGTGCATAGCCTGTGCAGAGAGCAGAATGTGATAGGGACTCAGCAGGCCCCACACACAATGGGGCGGGGATACAAGACCAGTCACCCTGCCCAAGGAGAGAGAGCAGCAGTAACTGGTCTTTAATACAGGAAGCTCCTGCACAAAGGCAAGGTTTCATGCTGGAGTCCAGGGAGAAATACACAAAGCACAGCAAGATTCAAGTATAGAATCCACATCCCTCTTGTAGCATAGACAATATTTGCTTCAACCAGAATTCAGCTGTAATATATGCAGGGCATGCTCTTGACACGGGATTCCCAGAGAACTGAGATTTCATAGACTAATCACAGCAGTGATCAACTGTGGCTCGGCTTAGGACCAGCCAGGGAAGTATTGTGTTCTGGACAGCGGGAGGGTGTAAAAGAGTTTAGGGTTCAGGTCCCTACATCAAAGACTGCATTTATTTCAGTGACAAGTTGGCTTCAACTCTAACCAGCTCTGCTTATAGCACAAGAGTCGGCTGGCTAAACTGTTCGGAGAAAAAATAAGATTTCAGTTTTAAGCAGAACAGATGAGATTGATTTCAGTCCTTAAAGCAGCAGTGGGGTTGCACACAAACAAGTTGTATACGTAGGGTAGAATGATTTCTCTGTGACATTTACTTTTATACCCAGAAAGGACGGATTAAAAGGACAAACCATTTTTAATAACAAAGACTGGAAACAGATGAAGGAATAATTTTGTATCTAGTTATGTATATTTTTCCTGGAATCCACCAATCACAAGTCATTTTAACATTTACCAAAGAGCTTCTGCTTTTTAGTAAAATGATGTAGGAAAACCGCAGACAAGACTAGACTTGACTTTGTCGCCATGAGTAACTGAAGCAATGAAACAAGTTTTTTTTTTTTTGCTATGGACGCTGTTTTGATTATATTTCTATGTTCTGCTGTTTACGGTATTTGGTGGACTGAAGTCCCAACATTTCACATACAATGTTTTGTCTACTTCTGACCCAGTAGTATTACAGTTTATATAAACCGTTTGAAATTTATGGCGTTTGTCTTTGTTTTTCACCCTAATGTGGTCTTTTATTTAATAGGATTGTTGAAATTAAATTTTTAATATGTTGCTAAAAGGAGCACTTTTCTTCCCCGCCCCCAACTCTGACCTAACCAATTCCAGCCTCCCTCTCCACTAACTTACAGAGATCCAACGGGCACAGTTCCCCTATTGTTCAAATCAGTGCTGTAATACTCCCTCTGCTGGCTGCACATGCACATTACAGCCCCATAGACGTCTATGGGGCCATCTCCCAACAGGGAGAAGGGTGCAGCCAGGAGCGGGAGACTTGCAGCAGTACTCCCAAGTACAGATCTGGTGAGCGGAGGGTGGCAATGTTTAGGTTGGGGTGGGGCGTAAACAGAATAAGTGCACTTTGTCTAAAAGTGCACTTATCCCTTAAATGTTGATTTTATGACTAGGGGTACACAGTACAGGAGAGCGAAGGACACTTATCCCAGGTAAGATCTACAGATCAACAACGGATGGCAAAGGGCATTTTTATAGCCTGAAATTAAACATATGAGTTGAGAGGATGTACCTTATAATAATTTACATGATAATTCTGAAACTTTTAAAAGATATGGTATGAATCTGAAATGCTGCAGCATTTGAAAATTACTTAATGATTTCAAAATCATACAGCAGACGCTGGCAGGGTGCCAAATGAAAGACAAGACCATTTTGAAGCAAGTCTGTATTTATTTATGCAAGCACATTAGGTCAAACACAGAACACCCTGCTTCACAGTACAGCTGGGATTGAACGAGCTGGTGGCAATAGAACAAAAATACCCAAATAATACAATCATGGAATATTTCCAACTGAAAGGGAGAGTATGTTGTGGAAAAACAGATTTACATGAACTTTAGTACTGTGGAATAGAAGCAGAGGGATAACTGCAAGGCTGAGACTCCCTCTGACTGAGGCTGACAGACCATCCTCCTTTTATATCACATGCACTTTCCTCATGAAAGAATTCCCTTTCATACAATGTCTTTCTTTAGAGAATTGGGCCATTGGATGTGTGTAAGGTTTTCCGGCCTTGTAAGTGCAGTGACTGATTTAAATGTGATTGGCCATTGTAGTAAGGATGGCACTGACTGGTAACTGATGGTAGATATTCATTTTAGAAAACCAGTTACTGACGGTTCGATCACAGAGATGGCGAGTGTGTTGTGCGCCATAAGCTTCAGCCCAGGTTCACTGAAACTAAATGTGCCTTTCAGATCATGTCAATAATGGCTTCTAATCAGGGCATTAAAGGGACACATAGAACAAGATTTTTTAATATTTGCAGACTGGCAGACTTAGCACAATGCTCATCTGTCGGCCATAGTTGGAGAGATTATTCTGTGTCTTACTTATTGAAGTGCTTCATTCCAAACTATTTCATAAGGACTTTATAGCACCCCTTTTAATTATGCTTCCATTGCCTTCTACTGAGAGGTTTCTCAGGGCTAAAGTGCATTCAATTGTTCATGATCAATCATATTGTTTGTTAAAGGAGAACTATGAGATGAGTGATTTCCACTCACCTCATAGTTCTAGCCGACCTGTGACAATGAGACTGTCACAGGTCGGCTCAGTAGATCGGGAGGTGAACGAACACATACCAGGTTCGCTCACCTCTTGATCCTGTCACGGCTCTCTGCCGTGACAGGGGGAGGGGCTGGATTCCCCGCTCCGATCTGCCAGCGCTGACTGGCGGAACGGATGGGGGAGGGGGCGGGTACAGCTTTCTCTGCCTCTAGATAGGCAGAGCCAGCTGTCACTCACGCAGCTGGGCGGATCCCTTCATCTAAGTCGGGATCCGCTCCAGGTGCGGCGTCTCAGTATACCGCGAGCTGTAGCTCGCGGTATACTGAGCTTAGGGTAACGGGAGGGCGCTAGTTTGTGTCCTCCCGTTACACCAAGGAGAACTATGGGGAAAAACACTGACCCCATAGTTCTCCTTTAAGCTCCAGTGAGAGGTGACCACATATAATAGATGGCAGGTAGGCTTTACCACCTGAAGACCTCCATATACAGATAAACACTGCCTGCCTGACCCAAAAAAAAAAAGTCACACACAATATTTTGTCGAAGTGCCTTTAGCTTTGATTGGCACGCATTCCCTGTGACATCATTTCCATAAGCGTATGCAGTATCACAACATTTATTTCCGTCCGTTAATTTTTCACCAAGATGTTGTAGTGATGATGGGAGAGTAGGACCACTGCGTAAAGTCTTCTCCACCAAAGATTTTCAATGGGGTTAAGGTCTGGACTCTGTGGTGGCCAATCCATGTGTGTAAATCATGTCTCATGCTCCCTGAACCACTCTTTCACAATTTGAGCTCCATGAATCCTGGTGTTGTCATCTTGGAATATGTCCGAGCCATCAGGGGAAAAAAAAAAAATCCATTGATGGAAAAACCTGCTCATTCAGTATATTCAGGTAGGAAGCTGACCTCATTTTTGGGGACATAACATTGCCGTACCTAGATCTATTATCCAGTGGAAGGCTCTGACCTATTTGCTTAGCTAATCCAAGTGGTGACTTTTTTTTCCACCAGGCAGTGTGTGTATACAGCTGACTATATACAGTCTGGGTAATCACCTCTTGGGAGTCGGCTGTACCACCCAGACATGGGTGCCTGATCCTGCCCACTAGAAGGCCTTGTAGGCTAGATTTTCATCCAACAATATCATACTTTTTGTGGTACTAACATTTTTGTAGATGATTGCTACTGCTAGATATACATATTAAGGTCAGTGTGTACATTAACCATCTACTGACTGGAATTACCTCTACAGGAACCAAACATTTGCCAAGATGTTTTATATGTTCATTGTGCCTGATAGTTCTTAAGCAGGTTCTTTTTATGTATTCGCCAGCTGCAAATAGTAAAGCTTTGAAATGATGGCCACATATCATCTACTGGATCCCTTGTTTTATTTTCTGTGCGATAAAAGGAGACATTGGGGTTGATTTACTAAAGGCAAAATAGGCTGTTCACTTTGCACTGGAGTTTTCCCTTAGCTTAGTAAATGTGGTAAAAATTCACTGTGCAAATAATACAAATCGCAGCCTATTTGCCTCCATAATACAGGGGTAGCCAAACTCCAGCACTGCAGCTGTTCTGATACTACAAATCCCATCATGCATCTGCCTCTGAAAGTCATGCCTGTGACTCAGAGTCCTGCAACGCCTTGTAGCTCAACAACAGCTGGTGGGCCAAAGTTTGGATACCCCTGTCCTAGTATATGTACACCTGCATGTAAACACCAATTCAGTATTCTCCCCAGTAGAAGGCGCACTTGCAAATAGTGTATAAGACAAAGAAATCTACTTGGAAAAGTGTTTCCATTAGTGTGAGTGTCACATAAAAGGCACCTTGACTGCGTCTAAGAGCAGGCAGTGAAACAAGTCTTCCGGCGACTTTCACTGACTCGTCATTCCGAATCAATTTACAGATTGTTAAAGGAGAGAGTCAAAAAAGGCAAAGTAACATTTTCTGATAATTGAGGGTCTGTACTGCTCTCTAGGTGGTGTGGCATGACTTCTTACTACTGTAGGATAGCAGCAAATGGTCTTCACATGGACAGAGAGTGGATAGAAGATCTGTCTGGGCCCATGAAAAACCATTGTTTAGAAACAGCCATCAATTAGCTAGGGCCCTGCCCTTGTGTGTAATTGTAATATATATGGGGGGGGGGGGGGGGGGGGGGAC